CCATGTTTTAAGCCATATTAAGTTGTGTCACTTCATGTGCTGATACATTTGACAAAGCTGCCACTGAACAAAACCTATAACACAATAATATTGACTCACTCATCTATTGTTTACTAGATTTCCCACCCTAAGATGTGTCAATTTTCAAAGCCAGCCCATATATCTAAGAGAAACATAGTCCTTTTACATAAATTCTGTTAATTATTTTTATTAAATAAACAAATATAATGGGTTTCAATTGGGACAAAAATCACTTTTTGGTAAAGCCGCTCACAGTTCATTGGCGTATGCGATGTGATAATCCTTTAAAAACACTGCAATTTGTGTTAAGCTCCTGCTAACACTGTAACAAGATGCTCTGCACACAGATGCTTTTAGTCAGACGCTGGTTAGAGCGAAAACAATGTGCCACACAACAAATTAAGCATTCTTCACACCCAATTACATCTCTTTGATGTTTAACAGCTTTATTTATCTGGGGAAAGTTGACTAAGCGCTGGCCTTTTTCTACATTCACACCTTCCCAGCTAAGCGCTCGTTAGCTGTTTAGTCTAATTTGTTTATTTAAAAAGGGACCATTAGCATTCAATAACAGAAGAACGGTAAAGGAGCCAATTCTTGTTTTAAAGCTACAGGCACATTTTTATCTCTAGGCACTCACAAGACACAACAAACTATTTCTTACAAAGAGCAACAAAGCTAATACAGTATGGAAGAGTGTAATGAATAGGAGAACTATGTACCCGTCTGGATATAAATGAAGGAAAACAAATATATATATATATATATTATTTATGCCTGGCTTAAGGGCACTTAAGGTGCGTATCTGGGTTGTTGCAACTTTATTGTGATTTCTCATGAATAATGTTCCTAATCAGAATTGATTGCGTGGCTTCGTGGATTGCTAGATTCTGATTGGTTAATTTGGACATCATGCCCTTTATCGATAGCAGACAATTGTTAAGGACATTCTGATCAAGGGACTATGAGGAGTCATATCAATCCGCAGAAAGGAGTCCGGTTATTTTAATGTCAGCTTTGGCCAAAAAAACACATTCACGAAACACCTTTGAATACTTTTTTTATTTGTTATACAACAACTTTGGATTCATGATAGCTTCAATGTCCCCAGTGCGGAAAAGAACAAGAAAAGGAAAGCCAACGGAAAGAAAAGGGTTCAAAGACTGTGGACTCCAGAGAGATTAGCAGAAGAAGACGGACAGGAAGTAAACACTTTGACTGGCTCGCGGCACAATATGGTCACATTATGGTCAATATCATGTCACAGTAAGAGATGAGCCTGACTGTATACCTGTGCGAGGAGCTGGCCAACCAGCAGCTGGCGAAAGGAGCCCGGCCCCCGATGACTGAACGCAGCACTGGGAACAAACAAGCAGCTGTAGGAGCGGTGGGTGGGTCGGCCCCTCAGAAACCCACCCTATGATTATTACAGTGCAAAATGGGGCCACAAAACGCTGTTGACATAACTCTGCTGCAAGCTAACACTTGATGATAATCAACCACCGCCACCTGCAGCATAGGGCTTGACACCAATTCCAATGTAGAGTGAGCCATCAATCTAATGCTCTGAACGGAATATGTTTAAAGGCTTATTAAAGTGTATAAACATATTCATGTCAGAATCAAAGGAACTTGTTGTGAGTCATCTTAGTTTCACGGGGTTCATTGAGCCATGAGATATAAAGAAAGGATCAGACGTGAGAGTTTAGTAGAGTTTCTACGAAATTAAGCCTATAAGACAAAAGTACAAATAAAACTTACAAGAAAAATGTATATATTAAATTAAATTATAGTTTTAGATACATACACATATACAAGCACACACGCTCTTCTGCCCTGCTGAAGATTGCAATCCACTTTGCTGAAGACATCCCTCTTGCCTCTATGATTTATTTCAACGTGCTGAAAATGAGCAGTGATAAAAACAGTAGCTTTGATTTTTTTTTTAAAAACAGTATTACATTAACAGTTATCTTAAAACTCACGTACCTAGCAATATGTTTTTGCCTGTGAGAACACAACCAAAAATTAAAAAAGGGAATTCAACCCTTTTTTGGGTTTTATTTTAAAAAAGAGTTCTGTTTTCGTGTCCCGTTTTAAGACAACTGAACACAAAGCAGCAGTTAAAAGTCCCATAGCTCTTCTTTGACAAAGCAGTGATATTGCGAGGCTGAAATACTTAGATCATGTGAAAGAGATTAGACACCGAGACAAAACCAAGTCATTGCTTAATTATATCAAGCATCTCTGACTCATTGACCGCATTACAATGTCAGACTGGATCCCGACCCCATCTCCGACCACCCCCCCCCCCCCCAGCACTGCCTGGATGTTACTTGGCCATTGCACTGTATTACCTAACACTGGACACGTGATTTGTAGTGACATTATGAAGTGCAACGCTGTGATGCACCCGAGTCACATCACTGGATAAGATGTGGGGGGGGGGGCTCTGCGGGGGAGTGATAGGAAGCTGCCATATTTGCAATGCATATGTTGGGGAAGACACATTGGATCAAATACTCCAACAGTTAGCAACTCATTATATCTCACCTTCAAAAGTGAGGAGTTTCTTCATGTCCTTGTACACACAATGCTTTAGAGGTAGGGAGAAAAAATATATATAGGTTGTGTGTAGACTACAAAATATGCATATGCAGTCATGGAGGTAGCTACGGGCAGAATAACACATCTGCTCTGAGAGACTCACTGAAAGGCTTTTGCCGCTGACATAAAGGCACTTCCTAGATTGGCAGTATTACAAATCTAGATTAAACAAGCACAAATATCCAGTACACAATGCTGTATTGCCCAAAACGTTTGTCTGATCTTCTAAAATGGCATTGGTGAAACATTACAGTCACTATTTCACAGAAGGGGGTCATCTTCATATGTCTTCTTTTTCTGACCAACAGTGCAGAAAACAAAAGAGATGGAGTTCAAATCAACACGAACAATATTCAAAAAATCCTTATAAAAGAAAATCTGGGAACAGGCAATATCTTGCTGAAGGAAATATAATATTATCAAAAAACAGCAATTTATTTTAGCACACATTTTAGTATTTAATTATAAATGTGTCATCATGATAGCCCTACAAATATGTAATTGATAAGGTTAACCTTTCCCCGCTCCTCCTTTAGCTGGAATTTATATTATTCTAGGAAAAATGAATTCTCTACTAATCTACTAACACTACACAAATACCTTGAATTATAGTTCCTGTTTACTCCACTCAAACCCTATGCCCAATTTATTAAGCCTTAATCACAGACACATTTAAAGAATACGAGGTGTAAATGTTCTGCTTTGTAGAGTTATATATCAATGTACTGATGTATCTGCAGATGTGTAATGCTGAAGACACAGTTCATCACACCACACTAAAGGTGGGCGCTGAGATGCAGCAAAGAAGGCGGCACATTGTGGGATCGGCTCTCTGAGGAGTCCTTCAACGAGACTGTCAGCTGGCGCCAAGAGCGGGTGACATCATCTCTATTTCTAGCTTTCAAGTGGAGCATTCAGAAGCTGAAAGGTATCCATTAATGGGGACCAGCTGCATGGTCGGAAACACCAGTGAGTACCAGAGACCTGTTCCGAAGAGTCAAGTGCAGCTGCCAAAAATCACATTTGAACTTTTTCAACTTGTCCTTAGGGTATTGTGTTAGAAATTGATGTCAGTCTAATTCCACAGCCGTCGGCCTACATTTGCAGCAGTGCGTGACATGTTTGAGCTTAAATAATCATATTAAAGAGCAACTGGTTAAAGTGGAGAGGTAATATTGATCATTGGTGGAGGCAAAATAAACAAATATAGTGGCTTTTGGAGGGATGATTACATTTCCAGGTCGGCACAGAGAGGAGAACTAAGTATAAGTCTTAACCTCATTTTCCTCTGCTCACTTAAGTGGCTCTCAAGGGACCAGTTCTCTAATTCATTCGGCCAAAGCCAGCGAGCAGTGTGTATCTGGGTGTGTGTTCGCAAGGATCCGACTGCTACTGTGTGTGCATTACTAGCACATTTTCTGTATAATCTTGCCTCAGGGTTTGATTCATGCGTGCTACCCACTCCAACACACACCCTACTTCCATCCCACCCACACAAATAAAAGCTCACACACATTTGCTCACTGATATGACATCAAAGTGTCCAGAGTCAGCCTACGCACTGTCATCTCGTGAACGCAAAGGAGTCATGATCAAATGTTTTCTGGGCACATTTGAAAAGGAATAGAAGATACACTGGGAGGCAATGCATCTCACCTCTTTAATAAGAGTTGGTTATGAGAATTATGAATTAACATTGCCATATTAACAAAAGCCAACGTGCTTTGTAGCATAAACGGATACAAATATTTGGTATCTCCCAATGTACATGTCTTGAAGAAGAGTGCCACTATGGCTATCAGCTGAGATTTTGCCAAAGAATAGAAAAATAGTTAACAACCTAGTATCAGTTCCAAAATGTAGTCAAGTTTAGTTAAGCGAATTCTTAGTGGAGGGTACCACTCTACAATAAGACTACCCTTATAAAGGATTCATAAAGGGTTTACAATTAGGTTATTAATTAGGTTGTAAACACTTTATTAATCATTAAGAACCATTTATAAACCAGTCATCAACGCAGGCTCACTATTTGGCAAGATGACTAAGCCTTATATTGACTACGTAGCGTACTTCGTCTTCTTCATCAGCCAACATCCTTGATATCTGTTGTTCACTGAGTGGATCCTCCCCCCTTCCATCTTGTTTCTTGGCATCTCTTATGACCATTTATTTATGAGTTACTAACATTTATAACTGCCAAAAGGGAGCCTTGTTGTAAAGTGTAAAACACATTCCCAATTATTAATGNCGCTTGGTTGCCACGGTTGCCCTTCTGTTTATTCTCCGCTCTGGCTCTTTTTCTCCCTCCCCGAGGCAAGCGTTTGCTCCCGCTGCTGTAATTCAATGCAATCCCTCCCCGTCGAGGCAAGCACTGTAATTCTCTCTGGTTAGTCCACCAGTAGATGACAAACACTCACCTCTCCGTCTCTTCCAAGGAACGAGGGGACCGTGCTGCAGAGTTTCAGTTTCTTTCGCCGGTCAAGATGTCCGTTAAAGTTTAAATCTTCCGGACAAAATTAGAAAGGTCTTCTTTATTATTTATTGAGCTTTAAAACAAATGAATAACGACTCTATATAATAATATAGTAAAACACGGAGGACGGAGATCTATTTGTCTCCCCCTCTTCTGACTTGATCAGAGCACGCTCCCCTCTCCTGCAGGGGGGCGTGGTCAGCTGCAGCTCACAGAATCAGCCCTCTGCAAAAACAGGGCTGGAGAACAGCAAATAGAGCGAAATTAGGCATGGCTAAAATGCATGATCTGTTTGGTATTTTGAAAACAGAAACGTATAAATATAACTTATATAGGTATGGCCCTAAAATATATCATTTAAATATATCATGATAGGTGTCCTTTAAGCTACTGAGACCCACCTGTCTGCCCGGCGCATCAACTTTCACACACACACACACACACACACACACACACAATGTACAGCACACACATACACTCTACAAAACACACCTACACATTGTACAACAAACACAAACAGCTCCTAAAGCATATAATAAATATCAGGATACAGCCCTTGTATATTTTATTATGTGAAGCGAGGCCTATATGGTTTCATGAAAAATATCTACTGTTTATTTGTAGATATCTCCTAAAACCTACAAATAAAGTGTGAAATGTAGGCCTGTTACATTTATCATTGAGCGATATATATTATTGTGCTTTCTGCACTGACCTCAGCAGCTCTTCTCACTGTAAACATCGCGTCACAAGGAAAGCAGTTGTATTAAACAAATAAATAGCCTAAAATCCAGGGGATATGTGATTAGTGAGTAACAAACGGTAAACGGCAGAAAGTCTGATTCACATTTGATCATCTTGAATAACTTATAATCACAATGGGAACAGTTTGCAGAGCTGTGCTTCGTTGACATAAGTCCAGCCATGCGTCACGCCTCTTTTAAACATCACTGTTGGCTGAAATCTACTCCGGAGAATACATCAGTGTACCCTCGGTTATAGCTCTTCCAGAGAGACTCCTCTCTCCTTTCCTCTCTCCTTGACATCTTTGCACCCTCGGTTATAGCTCCTCCAGAGAGACTCCTCTCTCCTCTAAATCAGTTTATCCTCGGTTACGGCTCCTCCGGACAGCCTCCTCGATAATTGATCCTCGAAGAGCCTTTAGAGAAATTTGTTTTCCTTAGAGACGGCGCGCCGACATCCGTTTCCGGGTCGCTGCCGGAGGACCTGGGATTCGAGGACGCGAAAATTAGAGAAATTACAAACTGCTCATTTCGGAGGACTCGCACATGTCTGCTTGACGCCGGGACGACCGGCTGCCCTCCCCGACAGGCGCACGGACGCGAGGGCCCGCTCATGACTGCGCGCACGTCTGTGACCAAAGTTTTAATTTTCTCTTGTATTTGTTGGCATTGCATTCAAGATTAAGTAATCCTAATTCATTATTAGGTCATCCTAATAGTGAATTGAAACAACCTAGAAATATGAACATGAAAATGTGTTAAATATGTCCACTGTAATATTTGTTTAACAGCTGCCTGCACCGAGTATTTGACAATGAAAATACTTAACAGGTCTGTATCGTTCTTTGTAAGAAATATACCTTTCAAAATATTTGAAAAAAGATTTTAGTAAATTGACAATAACATTTCAAAGAATTGACAGAACAAAAAATTTAAATAACAAACAGAAAAATTACATTTCCATGAAATTCCATTCAATTTAATAAGAAAAATGAAGAATAAAAAAAAAAATGTTAACACATAAAACAGCCATTTTATGTGTTCATACATACACTCCCACACACTGCAGGATATATACAGACTGTATACATACAGGGTTATGACAGCTAGGATGAATAATTGTCATATAAATACTTGAATAAACTGCAAACTGTGTTATCAGCTGCTTCGGATTAATTTGGCTCATGAATCATGTTAATTGTATTTGCTCCCAAAAATTACATGAGGGAATTCTGTACCTACAGAAATGATGGCGCCCACAAGTATTTGAATTATGTTTTTCTTTGACACCGACAGATTTACCGTTTTGTCAGCCGCTCTCTGCTCCCCTCTGCTATAGATGTGCCGTGACTTGATATATCGACTCTTTTAGCCCCTGCTTTGGCTCAAATCCAAGGCCCATTTGTACAGATGGGGTTTTACGTGGGGCCATTTTAGCAAAGCACCCTCCCCATAAAGCCAAAGTGTCTCATCGCTTCATAATTGTGTGATTATGGTCAATTGCTGTGGTTGGGGTGACAGATCCTATTCGAGCACAACAGATGCTTTTATCATATTTTAGTTCCCCATTTGACCTTAATCAACCGTTACATGTATGAATAAAACAGGGAGATAATATTTCACTTCTGAGGTGGACCAGGTGTCGGAGGGGAGCTGTGAGCAGGGGGAGGTGAAGGTGGAGGGGGGGGAAGACGGTCAAAGCTGAACACTGGTGCTGCTGAATAAAGATACTGAGGCCTCCATTGGAAATGTATGAGACAGAAAGATGGTGCCACCATGTGGGAATCAGAGGGCATCGCACATACTGTATTGGAATTGTAGGTGTAAATACTGTATATACAGAATAGTAAGTGGCTGAACCAAATATAATTTCCCCATTGACACCTGTTTGCCTATATTTTCCTTTTATGGAGAAATGTGTTGATTCCAATTCTAAATGTTTCATATTCACAAAAGCTACAGCATAAATTCTCCCAGCGTACCAGGCGCCTGGTACTGCAGCGACAGCAACGTAACTTAAAAGGACAGCAGCACATATCTAGGTTTTCTGTAACTGTCCAAGTCTGTTCACATTATCGTTTCCATTAACTAGTCTTTAAACACTGCCAGAGCCCATACTGTGTTCCTGTAAGTGTTTACTTCCTGTCAGTCTTCTTCTGCTGTTCCCTTTAGTGTTTACTTCCCGTCTGTCTTACACTGTTTTTCTTTTCTTTACTGAGGACAGTTTAGCCATCATGAATCCAAAGTTTCAAATATGAAAATTAATATTTAAAACTTATTCCATGGTGTTTTCTGAATGATGAAAACAAAGACTTGTTGTCCACAGCTGTTCAATTGACCTGACTTCTCTCTGTGGATTGAAATGACTGCAGATACCGGTAGTCCTTTGATCCTCCATAGCGACGGTCTGCAGTTGTCTCAATCAGGATCAAGTATTCAACTGTAAAAAGATGTATATGTGTAATAGAAAGATGGGTACCACTTTACAATAAGACTACCCTTATAAAGGATTCATAAAGGGTTTACAATTAGGTTATTAATTAGGTTGTAAACACTTTATTAATCATTAAGAACCATTTATAAACCAGCTCTAACATAGTTTTCATACATCAACACAGGCTCACTATTTGGCAAGATGACTAAGTCTTATATTGGCTACCTAGCTTGCTTTGTCTTCTTCATCAGCCAGCATCCTTGGTATCTGTTATTCACTGAGTTGATTCTCCCCCCATCCATCTTGATGTTTCTTGGCATCTCTTTATGACCATTTATTTATGAGTTACTAACATTTATAACTGCCAAAAGGGAGCCTTGTAAAGTGTAAAACAAATTCCCATTTATTAATGAGTTACTACCATTTCTAATTAGGCTTAGCAGTACAGATAAATGTGGGCTCACTATTTGGCAAGCTACCGGTCACAGTTGCCCTGTTTATCTCATGTCTTATAAAAGCTTATTAAGGATTTATAAAGTGTTCACAACCTAATTAATAAATGAATTACAAACTATTCGTAAACCCTTTATAAGGGTAGTCTTATTGTAAAGTGGAACCGAAAACTATTTGTAATCATCAGTAGCATTTCATATCTACGGAAGGTCATCTAATTCAGGGTTCTCAGGGATAATTTCCAAACAAAGAGCTCTGACTGTTAATAGTCATTTAAACCACATTCAGCTATATGTTATCCAACCCTAACATAACAGTCGTTTTACCAGCTGAGGTAAATTGTTAGCAATATTCGTCTTCTCTACATAGTATTGTAATTCCACTTGCCAAAAACAACAAAATACACATTGATTTATTTTACCTCCATAATATAAACTGGACCTTGACAGCACTTGTTTATGTACAACATATGGTGGGATACAATACTTGATAGCCTTATTAAAAAAAAGTAATAACCATAACAAAGCACCCTTTGCAAACATCTCTAGTCACTCCGTATGATGACCTTTTCATGCTTTACTGAATCATATGTAGAGTATTTTCCAAACACTTGACGTTTCTTCCACAAAATAGCTCATTCACAGCTCTGAAGCTCCACTGGATGTAGTGTCTTTATAGCTTTTTGAATTTATGGTTACGTAGCTACTATCTCTACAGGCTCCTTCACATTACAACCCGCAAACAATTAAAAGTGATGGCTTGGCAGGTCTTTTACTTTCTTCCTTGCAACACTAACTTTTACATTGGAAATTCTAAGTGTGATCTTTGAGTACACAGACTGAACAAGCTTAAAGAAGGATTTGAATGCAAGCAGCTGCTGCCTCCTTGTTAGGCTGATCCACTGTTCCTGCAACTTCCTGCCTTCACAGTGCCCTACTGTGTTCTTTATTACAGAGAGAATTACATCTGCAGGAGATCCTTCTGTTCAGCCGTGTGTCCCCCCCTCACCTCACCCCCTCTTGTGTTTCACTGTCAGACACCGGTCAGCCAGCATCCAGCTTGGCGTCGGCACTGGCAGTGATGATTCATCCGGAGGAGGCCGAGCTCCGTCTCTCTAATCAGACTGAACTAAACTTTCAAGGGTATTGATCAGGCATCTCTGTCAGTGCCATTAGAGACACTTGATGCATATAGTGTGTGCCAAAGAACCCTCCTGCTTCTGTCAATGTGAAGAAGATTAAAGGGAGAAGAGAATTAAGGGGGTTGGAGAGGAAAAACACGTTTTCAGGCAGACAAATCGAGAAAGGCTTTGGCTTGCGAATCAAAGCTTTCGAGACAGGAACATTGGAAAATATGC